GCCGTTGGACCGGCACGCACGCACAATAGTTCTTCAACGTTTGTCGGTTGCTCGCCGACACGGGGTCGACGAAATTATCATTCGATTCAAGGGGGCACGCTGGAACCAAATGTAGCTCTATGGCTTGCAGGAACGTGTTGAAGCTGAACAGAGGCAACGATGGCACCGTGGATTCGCTGGCTGATTCCCCGAAGGGCGCGTGCCTAATGGGCATTGCTTGCGCAGACCCTGCGCTGTTCGACCCGGTGGCAGATGAGGGCGGGTGCTTAGATGATCTTAAAAACGCTGGGGACGTTTTTTTCCGTTTTGGAGATCGACGTTTTGTTTCTGTTTTGGGAGCAATTTTTTTTTCTGTTTTGGATTTGCGCCTTGCCGTTTTCGGTTCGTTTTGCGATCCGTTTTTCAATCGTTTTCACCTGCAGTTTTCTGTACGTTTTCGTCGCCGTTTTTGCGAACCTCTCAAAGCCCGTGCCGTTTTTTTTGTGTTTTGGTTCTCCGTTTTGTGTGCGCTTTCGCCCGCCGTTTTTGTTACGTTTTGGTCCTGGTCACATCGTTTTGGGCACGTTTTGCGTTACCGTTTTTGTTCTGTTTTGGTCGACCGCAACGCCAGAAGTTGAAAACGGAAAAAAACGCCCCCAGCGTTTTTAAGAACAACTAAGGGCGGGTGGCGCGCGCACGATCCTCTGGATGAGGTGCGCAGGTGTGGCGCCTCGAAGGCCGACATTGTCACGATGGAAAGATGACTGGGTCTCACATTGAACTCGCGTGGTGCTTTGGCCGACGTAGACCTCAGGGCCCACGTGTTACTGCGTTCTTGCCTCCCGCGCGATTGCATGCAGGTATACATTTCGGGCGGACTCATGAACACTGAACTTGGGTGGCTTTTGCGTCCCCTTGCTGAGTGTACACCTCAATTCTAATTTAGATTGCTCATGACACCCGCTGTGGCTGGTTGGCACTGGTTCCCAGGGGCTCTTACAAGGATGCATTTCGCAGACCTGTTCTGCGAGCATCGGGAGACAGCGTGGAAAGATGTCGGCACCTTTCGCGTAGGCTCACCCGGATGGTTGATGGCATATCCTTTCATTCGTTTTTTGTTTTCGGCCATGTCCCTGCGCACACAAAATCGGACTCAAGTGCCAGAGTGACCTCCGTCTGTGCGAAGTTCTGGACTTACTCGCCGAGGCAAAACACTACTTAACGCCACTCGCGATTAGAAGTGCATTGCGGCGCGTTGTCGGCCAATATCTTGAGGCGGACAAGTCTGCGTACTCGATGCCATGGTTCCCAAACGCTACTACCAAAGGCATGCGGTGGCAAAAGAATCCGTAAAAGCGTGATACGAACTATGCAACACATTGTGAACGCAGTTTTCGAGAAGAGTGCGATGCAGCAGCTATTGATCGAGGTAATCCCTTAATGAGCAAAATCGCAATCAACCAATGTATGGAGCTAACTATGAGCGAACCGCTGACTGAGACGTTTGGACAGCGGTGTAAGGTTTCACGTTCACGGCAGGCGCTGTCAATTTTTCATTCGTGGCGTGGCCGTGGAGATAACAGCATGCGTTTGCGCAGGCACCGTTTCAGCATTGCTCGTGACGAACCTTGCGCTGGTGAGTCGCTCGCCATTGGAGGGGGGGCGCTCTCGGTGGAATAGAACGGGCGCGACCGGATTCCTGCTCCCCGAATTGGCGCGCAGGGCAGCAGGTCGGTTCCGCAGCGGCGACATGTCGATTTGTGGCGCTGCATTGATAGGTCGGAGGGCAAAACACACACACACACACAACAACAAAAAAAAACGTATCAGCCGTTCAAAGAGGAGCGGGTTAGCCGCTGCAGGTGTCTGTCTGCAGGTGCTCAATCATCTTGCCTCCCTCCTCTGACCTCCCCCCTCATTCATTACCCCGCCTTTCTCCTCCGTCCTCCCTCCTCCCTTTTCCTTCGTCCCTTCTCCCTCCTCCTTCTCCCCCCCCTACAGGTCAAGGTAGTCAAGCTGCGGTACAGGAAGCTCAATTGTAACTTAATGCTGTCGCATCTGCTACAGAGGTCGTTTATTTGGCATGCGTGTAGTTATGTGTGGTTATGTGCAGTTACTTCAACTGTATGACCCTGATTGCTTGAAAACTGCGATTCCTTTAAGCACGTAAAACTGTAATGCCTGCTTGGGCACATACATATAGATCGACATATACACGCTGATACGCAAATGTAGACTGACAGGAAATGTTTATTCGTACTTCAAGCGAAATACACCGTTCCAGTGGGACCATCAAATAACGACTCATGATTCACGAAAAGTTCCTGGGGGGAGGGTTTGGACTTCTGGGGGCCCACGTCTGGGAGAAGGATTCCTCCAGGGCCTGAAGCCTCTCAGACTTACTCCCTCACGAACGCCCTCACCGTAGCTTTAAGCCGGGCGTGTCCCCCTACAGCTGGATCTTGGAAGAACAAATGCCATCACGGAGTAGAAACAAAATCGTAAAATCGCCCCCAGACTATCTCTTTGACGATGTTCGAATCGTCCTCCTGTCGAGGGACAGGCCCGACTTCACCGCCCCCGGGGCCCCCCCTCGCCCGCGCGCGCGCGGGCGAGGCCGGCGCGCGCCGGGCGCGCCGAGGCCCTCTGCGCGCGCGCGCGCGCGCCGCGGCGTGCTCAGCAGGCGCGGCGGCGGCCTGCGCCTCTGCGCGCCAAGGGGGCGGCGCGCGCGGGCGTCGCGCGTGCGCAGGCGCTCGGCCAGCTCGCCGCCGGCGTCGCCGCCCACGCCTCCCTGGAGCAGGGACCGACCGTCCCGGCATTCCTGTAGTCCTATCACGAAATTTTCTTAGAACCTAGAAATATGTTCTGAGAACAAGAACAGTGTTCTCAGACCATGAACCCGCTGCGATATATAAAAAACAATATTGACTCCGCCAGCAATGCTCCAAGAACTTCTCGTGGAAACCACAAGAGATAATTAGAACACTGTTCTACGAGACCTATGTTGCTTCACAGCAGCAATTCGGCCCCTGACTTTCGTCCTGGGTTCGGTTTAGTGAAGTGATGAATTTCGGGGTCCTCGCGTGGGAACAAACATCACTTCACTAATGTGGGGCCCCTGGGGCCTCAGTGGGCCCTGGGGCCTAAAATTAGTGACGTGATGGTTTTCGGGCCTCGAATGTTCCGTAGGGCTATAGGCGAGGCAGGACGCTTCGCCACTGCTTGACTCCTGCGCCGGCGCCGGCGCCGCCGTGGCTGTCGCCGTGGCTGCCGCCGCCGCCGCCGTCGCCGTCGCCGGCGTGGCTGCCGCTGTCTGCCGCTGCAGTCGCCACCGGCGCCAGCGCCGACCGCGTCGGCCACGACGCCGGCGACGAGGGAGAGGAGGAGGGCGAAGAGGCGGGAGGGGGCGGCGGGACGGCGCCTATTCTCCCTCTTCCCTCCTGGCATCCCTCCTCTCGGCCTCCCTTCTCGATCATTGGGTGCTGCCGTAACCCTTCAGGCATTTCTCTGCGGCGCTTGCTGCTCCTAGAGCGGACTCGTTGCCCTAACTTGACCCGTGAACCCGAGAAACGGGGAAGGAGGAGGGGAAGCCGAGACCGAGGAGGGTAAAAAAGGAGGACATCCATGATGCCGAAGAGGCTCGAAGGTGAGACAAGACACATCGCCACCGAGCCTGCGCGGAGTGGGCGTGCTAGAATGCTCGTATGTTCCGTGAGGTTTCTTTCGTCTCTAGGGCCGCCACCCCACTCGTACTCGCAAGCGTGCCTCGAACGCCGCCGCCCAGGAATTTGCTCGCGAGTGCCCTCTTCGGCCCCCAGGCGGCCAAGATCGCCTCCAAGATGGCTCCCGAGAGAAACAAAATGACACCAAGACGGCCCAAGCTGAGCCGCACCGATACGCAACACGCAACCCATAGCGTGTTGATACGCAGCTCAACACGTAGACTGAACACGCAGGTCTGGCGCGATGCGTTCGCGTACGCGCGTCGGCGTGTGCCAACACGTGCCTGGCCAACACGCAGCGCGTTGACATTAGACGGTCTGAACACGGTACGTGTTTGAAGGGGCCCTGGGACACACAAATAAATACACACAAATAACAGGATTCCCCATATTTTCCCATATATCTGGGTTTTTGTCTACCCCCCCCCCACACTTCCCATATTTTCCAATATTTTCCGGAGAGTCGACGATTAATTGTGTCTGTGTATTTTTTCCCTCCTGACCCAAAACGGCCTCAAGAAGGCCCAGCAGCCCAGCAGGCCACAAATGCGGCCCAAAGCTCCAAGAGGCCCTCCAGGAGAGCCCGCGGGGGCAAAATGCACTGATTTCCCTGGGGTTGTTGCATGCCTTCGATGTTCTCGCCTGTTTTGTTTCCGGCCGCCTGAGCCCAAGTTGCCTCCAGTGTAGCTCCAAGACAGCCACAGAGGCTCCCAAGGGAGCCGCAAGCTGGGCAAAGAGAACCCCAAGATCGCCCAAGAGGCGTCCAAGACGGCCCCAAGACGGCACTAAAGCGCTCCAAGAGGGCACAAAAACGGCCCAAGAGCTCTCTAAGAAGGCCCAAGAAGCCCGAAGAGGCCCCCAAGAGGCCTCCAAGTGGCCCCCAAGAGGCCCCCAAGAGGCCCCCAAGAGGCCTTCAGGAGGCTCCCAGGAGGCCCCCTCAATAGGCTTTCTACTCCTCGTATTCATTATCCTCCCTCTCCTCCTCCTCCGCCTCCTCCTCCTCCAGCCCCCTGCTCAAGGGCGCCAGAGCTCGGGGCCGGCTTGCGAGGAGATTCCCGCAGATATCTCTCGCTGCTCCCCGCACGGACGGCCCTCACGGGCTGCAAGGTTCACCTCCATCTCTCGATACCGAATCATGCCGTCCCCCTTCCTCTCCTCCTGCTCCGATGCCGATGTGGCTGCCGCATCCGCCGGCGGCCAGCGGCGCACGGCCCGGAGGCGGAGATGTCGCCGCAGGCAATGGGCTGCGTTGCATCTCGAGCTGGCCCGCCTACGCGCCGCCCGGCCGGCGCCGCCAAGGCTCGCGCTGCCTGTTCATGAACCAGTGCGTGATGCCGCCGACCGTGAACCTGTCCGTGATGAAGCCGATCGTGTATACCTGGTCGTGAGCCTGTTCGTGAGCCTGCTCGTGACCACGGCGCTCATGTTCAGCCTAGCGATCGCGTGGCGCCCGGGGATCCTCGCGTCGAGCCTCACGGTGTTCGTAACTGTGAACCTGGTGAGGCTAGTCCTCAGCATACCGGCGGCCTTCACCGTGGGGCCGTTCGCGAAGCTGTTCGCGGTGCCGTCGCCCGTGCCCCTCCTGTTCGGGAGGACGCCGTTCGTGTACCTGGCTGTGGGCATGGTCGAGGGCAGTCTCGAGAGCACGTGCACAGAGAGGTTGTTCGAGATGACGGCGTTCCTGTATCTGGTCCTGCATCTGGTATTGCGCTCGGTCGTGAGGCAGCCGTTCGTGCACCTGCTCGCGATTCAGGGGCTGTTCAGGTACCTGTCGACGATTCGGATCATGGTGCCGAGGGTGTTGTTTGTTGTGTGCTGCCTGGGGATCCGCGGGTGGAGCCTGGTGAATTTCGCGCGGTGAACATACTGAGCTTCGGGTGGATCCAGCTGGTGATCTACGTGGTGGACTTCCTGTTCGGGATGAGGCTGTTCGTGCACCTGCTCGGGAGGTTGCCGTTCGAGAACCTGTTCGTGATGACGCCTTTCAGGTACCTGGTCGTCTGAGTGTTCGTGAGCATGTTCGTGAACTTGCTCATGAAGCTGTTCGAGAGTTCGCTGTTCATGCACCTTGTTATGAATCTGGTATTGCACTCGTTCTTGATGCAACAGTTCGTGAACCTCTTCGGGAGGAGGCTGGCGTCGGGAGGATCGCGGTGGGGTCGCAGGAATCTGTCGCACGGGATGGGCTCGATGACACCCTATGGCTGCGTGCTGGCGACGGGCTGGTGCGAGCTATTCCACTGGTGACGACTGCGCCGTCCACAGGGCGACCAAAAACGACAGCCTCACCCTCGAGAGCTGCTGCGACCTCGTCTCGCTCCCTGTCGAGTTGTGGTGACTGCGACGGGCGCATGGAGGTCCTTACGTTAAGATGTGAGTTGGAGTGCTGGATTTGTGACCGCCGTGTGCCAGGCGCGTCGCCTGGTGTCAGCCGTGTCGATGGACGCGGTGCCTCAAGTGCGACCCCGCCTCGTACCACCCCGCCTGGGATTGCGACAGTGAGAGCGGCAGTTGCTGAGCGACTGCCCTTGTCTGCCCTCTCTCTTCGGCCTTCCCTCCTCCTCGCCTGCTCCGTGCCTCCCCCGCTTCGCCTCTCTCCGTGGTGTGCTGGTGGTGGCCTCCTCGCTGCCGCCGCTTGTCTGGCTTTGGACACTGCAATTCGAAGTATAAGGAGTTGCAACCATTTGTCTGCCCTCTATCCTCGTGGCTCCCTCTCGCCTCCTTTCCTCGCCTGCTCCCTGTCTCCCCCGCTCCGTCTCTCTCTCTCTCTCTCTCTCTGTGCTGTGCTTTTTTGTGTCCCTCTCTTCTGCCGCCTGCGTGTCAACTCTAGACTTTTCACTTCGAAGCCAGGATAGCTTGCTCGATTGCTCTTCACTGACTCTGAGCTTCGCTCACCTTGCCTGGGTCGAACGATTAACACTCAGGGCTCCCCACCCGTGGGGGCCGTCCACGTACGAATCGCGTTTACGAGCACGATAGGTCGCGCATGGCGTAATGTTCTCTCGAGTTTCAGCTGTGTGATCTCTTGGCAGACGAGACATTCGGCCCGATATCGATCCGCCGCCGCCGCCTCCTCCTCCTGCTCCTCAATACGCTGACGAAGACGAGGTCGGGTTCACGGCCCTCCCGGAGGTTCAGACTACTCGCTGAACTGCCGCGGGGCGTGGGCTCGGCTTCCTTCCGACTGCGCGGAGGAGACGTGGTCGAAGTCACGACCCGTCACAGTTCAGACCGCTCGTCGGAATTGGGATGCTCCTACATTGTAGCCTCCTTCCTGCTGCGATGTTAACGGTGGCGGCGTTTCCGCAGGCAGCTGGATACGACACCCTGGCATAAGAGTATACATAGCACAATTAGGACGTAGAGAGCACATTGTACTACTGATGCTGTATATATATATATATATATATATTGGAGGCCTGGAAATGGACACCAACACCAACACAGGGGGGTGCCTCCACAGGGGGAAGATGATCCTAGATTTCGGTGTTGGTGGTAATATTTCGGCCACCTTGGAAGCCATACTTTTACCACCATCATCGAGATCGGGATCCTCATCCCTCGGTGGAGGCACACCGCTGAAATTGGTGTTGGTGTCAATCTCTAGGCCTGCGAATATAGGGGGTGTCATCTGGGATACCATGAAAGAAACCAGACCAGAGACCATACGGGAGACCGTACGGGAGACGGGAACCATACGGGGAACCGAACGGGAGGCTCTCAAGTCACCGATTCCGGGGCCGGGTACGGACCTCCCCCGGCCCTTCTTGCGAGACCTGCGTAGACCCGCTACGGATGAAGCTGTTTAGGCAATGCGGCAAAGGCAGAGGAGATCGTGGAGAAGTGGAGGATGAGGAGGAGGAGGAGGAGGAGGAGGAGGAGGAGGAGGAGGAGGAGGAGTGCACGCCATCAAGCGGGGAGGGAGGACGCAGGCGGACGCGGGAGGAGAAGGGGGAAGAGGACCACCCTCCTCCTCTCTCGCATCCGGGAGCCGCCGCCGACGAGCGCGCGCGGGCACGGTGCCGGTGATCTGGTGTCACAGCCCGTGGGCGCGCGCGGAGGTGCACTGGTTACTACTGGCGGCGCGCCCGGGGGCGGGCCTTCTCCGAGGCTCAGAATCGGGGCGAGGGGTCAGGGATCAGGGATCAGTGGATCAGTGGATCAGTGGATCAGTGGATCAGGGATCAGGGATCCGTGGATCAGGGATCAGTGGATCAGTGGATCAGTGGATCAGGGATCAGTGGATCAGTGGATCAGGGATCAGGGATCAGGGTCAGTGGATCAGTGGATCAGTGGATCAGGGATCAGGGATCAGGGATCCGTGGATCTGGGTCTGGGATCAGGTGGATCAGGGTCAGGGATGAGGGTCAGCATGGATCGGGGTCAGGGATCAACGGACCTGGCGCGGGGCGCCAGATCCACGGATCCGGGAGAGTAACCCCCCCAAAGCACGAAGCCAATGCCGCCTCATTTGGCAACGGAGCGCGTCGACCTCGTGTGGAAACGGGGTCCGCTGCTAGTCCACGCGCTTTAGCAGATGTCCAATCTCGGAAACACTGAACCCTCCTCCGAAGACGCTGGCTGCTGCTCAGAAGGCCCGGGGGCTCCCGAGAAGCCCCGGCCTGCCTCCGGTCAAGCTTCCCTCCTCCTCGGCTTATGTTGCCCCGATCGGACTTGAGGACCACATCCCAAAAAAAGCTTGGAGCACCAAGGTAAGTAACGAAACAGCGTCTGCCCGACACGCTAGCGAAGCGTCGAACGAATATCGCCTCCCGGGGCCCGACACGTGAAAAACCTTCGGCTCCGGCACTTTCCTGGTGCTGGGGCTTCGGGCTGGAACATCATAACCCTCGGCGCGCCGTCGATGTTGTGCCCAGGCAGCTGATGGGCGCGCTGAGGCGCGCTGCTGACGGTTGGGAACTTCTGCTTGACGTGGCGCGGTGGCGGCCCCGCGGAGACGCTGTGCCGTGCAAGCGGATAGCCCATCGCTCCGCTTCGCGTGGCGGGAGGCTCTGGAAGGCTCCTGACGGCGACGCTTAGGGGCCTGGGAGAGGATAGCGTTAGGAGGCAACTGCTGGGAGGTTTTCGTCGGAAGGATTACAAAGAATTAAGCCCCCTTGGGGGGCTGTTACGCCAGAGTGGGCCTCGGATTAAGCCGGATTAAGCGGGATTGAGCGGGATTAAGCCGGATTAAGCGGGATTAAACGGGATTGAGCCGGATTTCGGACCAGGGCAAAATCAGAATTCGACCTCCCCAGGAGTTGCATCCAAAATAGCGTGTCGAGAAGGAGCGTGGTGGGCCAGAACCGGCGGAGCAACACGCTAAGTCAAAGTTCCCGACCGCATGCTTGCCTGGACGGTCGTTCCGCCCATGGGTTGGCAGCGCGCACAAGGGGGTCGGGGGAGGAGGGAAGGCTTCTCAGCAGGAAGCCGCTTCTGAAAGGCGCTGGCCCTACATCTACAGATGTAGGCCCGGCGCCTTCTGAGAAGCAGCCTCATTGTAATGAGTTGTCCCCCTCCTCCGACCCCCTTAAGGGGCGACCTTTCCACCCCTCTGGAACCCTAGACCGGCTAAGGCAATGGCCGGCCGGCGGGCTGCTGCCGCCAGCCTGGCCGCGGCGGAAGCGCCCTCTTGCTGGGGCGCACGGTGCCGCAGTGCCGCCGGGCAGCCGCGTGTGCCTGGAGCGACTGGCCGTCGCACGGGCTCATCCTGCGGTAAATCACCCGGCAGGAGCGCCTGACTACGTGGGCGCGCCCTGCCACGGCGCCGGAGCATAGAAGACGAGCAAACGGCACACTCCTAAACTTTTGGAGCTGCGCGCGGAGTTCTGGGATCTCCGCTGCGTCGGGCGGGTGGGAGTGGGAGGCGACCTAACTGGCCATCGCTCGGACGTGCATTCCCTGTGTTTTTGTTTCGGTTTCGTGCGTGCTTTTTTCGCCAAATGTTCAAGGATGCTCCTCGATGGTCCTCGCAGAAAGAAAAATGCACACGTCCGAGCGATGCCAAGCCTAAGTGGGGGGGGTGACGAGAAGGGGGGCCCGCAAGGTGCCCATGTGCCCTTTATAGAACCCCTTTGGGGGCCCCTGCCGGCCGCAAGATAGGCCCCGTTAGGGCGCTGTTCTCCAACGCCAGTTTGGGCCACATTGAAGGAGCCCACGAAAAAACAAATCAATACACACAGATAAAATAATTCCCCATATTTTCCCATGTTTTCTGGGTTTTGTCTTCCCCCCCACTTCCCATATTTTTTCCATATTTTCTGGGGAATCGACGATTAATCGTGTCTGTGTGTTTTCCCCTCCTGACACATCCCATAATTAACCACCCTCCCGATCCCCTTTGAACCCCACGACGGCGCCTCCGGCGCCGCCCCTCACGCACTCCGCGCGCCAGAACAAGGGGCCCGGCGCAGATCCAAGACATCCGCACGGAGCTCCAAACGTTGATGTTTATGCAGCTGTGTCTGCATCTTCTTCGGCCGACGAGCGCGGTCACAGGCTCAACCTGCGGTGGCTCACCTCGAAGTCCCCCTGCCTCGTCTCGTTCACCGACATGCGCTGGACGGCCCCCTCGCGCGAGGTGAGCTTGGTGAGCACCCAGGCCCTGTTGGGCTGACTGTCCCTGATCTCCGAGGTCGTGAACTCCTTCAGCTGGTCCACGCGGACGGACACCCACCAGCTGGCCGCGCTCTCGGAGAACGGCCACAGCGCGCGGGCCTGCCGGAAGACCTCCGCGAGCACCACCAGCGTGCCGAAGGGATCGTCCCTGCCGGCCTTCTGCAGGAGCGCGGGCGCGTAGTAGACGAGGATGGACGGCCCCCGCCGCTCCGTGGCCTCTCGGCCCCAGGTCTGGTTGTAGACGTCCACGCTCGCCATCTCCGCGCTCAGGACCTCGCGGTCCCCCGGGGGCAGACGGTCGAAGGCGTCGAGGATCGCCCGGCTGTCGCCCTGCGCCATGATCACCAGCCGCATCTTGGCGATCGAGCCGCTGCCCTCCGGAGCGGGCCCGAGGGCCGGCCGGTGGCTGTCCCAGCGCCACGCGAGGTACTCCTCGTACACCTGCGTCTCGGTGGCGCCCGGGGCGCTGATGTTCTGCACGATGGAGAAGGAGAGCAGGAACTGGTTCAGGACGTGCTTCGGGAACTTGAGCACGAACTTCTCGCAGCCCTCCTGCGGGAACGGCTCGGCACCGGCCAGGTCGGTGAACCAGTGGGTGAAATAGAAGGCCAGCTCCCTCGGCGAGGCCTGGCCCGAGGTGACCACGCGCCTGAACTTGCGGAACAGGGCGCCCGGGGGCGCCTCCGCCTGCACCAGCCAGCCCATGTTGTACTCCATCTTGCTCTGTGTGAACTTGATGCTCTCCTGCTGCTCCCTGCTGAGGGCCGCGAAGGAGGGGAGCACGGACGGGCTAAACTCCAGCACGTAGGCCAGCGCGGCGTCGTGGTCGTTGATGACCTCGCCCACCTTGTAGCCGCGGAAGGCGCCGTGCTTCTTCGTGACGGTGGGCAGCAGCTGAACCGTCTTCATCACGTCGTGGATGGCGGTGAGGACCAGCATGGCCAGGGTCCGCTCTGGGTCGTGCTTCCGCAGCACGTAGGCCCTCTTGGACGCGAGAGCAAGGAAGCTGCGCTTGCGTGCGGGCTCCAGCTCGTGCGGGGTGGCCTCCGCGAGCAAGCCAGCGTTCACCAGCAGCAGCTCCAACGATGCCCACTCGGCGTCCCGGTGAAACGCGCTCCGCCGCTCCCACTCCGCCATGGCCTCGGCGCTGTTGTCGTAGGGCTTCTGGCGCGGCCTCCAGTTCTCGTCCAGCCCGAAGCAGAAAGAGTGGGCTCCGTCGAGGTGCAGCCGCATCATCCAGAAGAAGCAGAACATGGCGCCCATCGTCCGCTGGTACTCGTCCTCGCCCGCGCGCCCGCTCGTCGTGTCGCCCACGAGGTAGAGGCTGAGCTCCGGGAAGGCGGCGGTGATGTCCTCGTAGAAGTCCTTGCAGCCATACCTCGGGTCGCAGATGCGTGAGGCGGCGTGCCGCGCCCGCTTCAGGTCCATCTTCCTTGAGGCGCAGCGTGAGGGGGAGACCAGATCAGGGGGGAAGCTCGACTTGGAACGGCGATGCATCGACGACAGATCGCCGACGCGCCCCTGCTATTGAGACTGCACGGCCTCGGGCGGGCCGGGACTGTCAGGCCCCTGTCAGCGATCAGTGAGCGAGTGTGGGTCGCAGCATCCCCCACTACAGGGCAGTTTTTAATACATAGGATGCTGAAACATATAGGACTTTTAATGCATGCATAAGTTATGAGTAAGTTTATGCATGAACTCATCGTTGTTTTTCATACTACATCCCTGCATGTTTAACACATTCTCCGCACGCGGAGCATGCACTAAAAACGGCACTGTGAACCGATGCCCCCCCTTCATTGATTTCTGGGTGACGGGGGTGTCACTCGGCTTCCATGGCGGCCGTTCGGAACGATCGGGGCAGCCCTGGAACGCCTCCGGCGAGGCGCAGCTGCCGGAGCGCCTCCCGAGGATGGGAGGCCTGCAGGAGCAAACGAAAAAACGGCTGAGAACCTCAAACCTCGTTCCCTGACATTGCCCCTGGCTCCTGCCCGCCATCAGACTCTCCAGCACCGTGCCTCCCGAGGGCGCGAGCGGGAAGCAGCCGGGCTTCCGCGGCTCCAGCGCGTCCTGCAGGTCGGGCACAAGGTGGCGCCTGCGGCCCAGGCGCGCCTCCACGTAGGTCTGGCGCGGGGCCATGGTGAGGGACGCCACGCGTTTGATCTTGGCGTTCACCAGATCCCGGGTGCTCTGCCACTGCCAGTGCGTGATGATCAGGTTCTCCTTCCCGGGGCCCTTTGCGGGTTCCCACCTTTGAGGCGTTCCAGAAAATGGCACTTCTTCGGCGGAAGGCTGGTGGAAGCAAACCAAGGGCGGCTCAGACGGCAGAAGGCCAGCAGAAGTAAGCAGTGCGCCCCCACGTGATGACAAGTGTTGGGATTGAATGTTTCTGAAACCCACCACCTGGAGTAGGCGAAATTCTGGCCGTCAGGCAATCCGATACGGTGCAGAGTCGCGGCGTCCACCTCGGTCGTCACCACGCGCGCGGTGACCTCGTCGATGCGATAGCAGGTCTTGAGGCCCGGGAAGGAGTCCGAGTAGGCCGACTCCTCGCTCTCCTTGTGGGAGCGAAGGTCGACGGCGACGCAGCTCAGCTGGGTGTCGCGGGTCATTCCCAGGCGCGTGTGAAGGACGTCCTGGACCGCCTGCTGCCAGTCCGCGTCGAGCGCTATCCTCATCGTCAGTGGGCGACCCCGGTCGTGCGTGTCGCTCTTGCCCCGCTGGATCTTCGAGGCCAACAGCAGCACGTGGTCCGTTGCCAGGATCTCGGCGTGCAGCCACAGCTTGACGATCCGCACCCTTCGCACGAGCTCGCGGTCCACGACCTCGAGCGTCGACTGGCACCTCTCGTACACCTCGTCGTAGAGGTCGGCGAAGACTCCGTCCGGGAACGCGGCGGCATCGATGCCGTTGTCTTTGAGCAGGCTGAGCAGCGTCTCCTCCCGGCTGCTCGCCAGCGTCACCCAGGACCAGAAGCGCGTGCCCCTCTGAGTGGTGAAGTCCAGCGCGTGCGGGAGGCCCAGGCAGGCCAGCTCGGGCCGTTCCCTCTCCCGCACGCACACGGTCACACTGTGCACCCTGTAGATGGTCCGCCGCCGCGCCCCGTCGCGGCCCGTGGGGCGCTGCTCCTCGAGCCCAAGCCGGTGCACACGGCAGCTTCAGGCCTCTCCGCTGCCCCGCATCTGGCCGACATCGACGCGCTCCCTTGAGACGTCGACCACAACACCAACGACATGGTGGAATCGGCACTTTCTCTGGCCGGCGCTCACGGTGAAACTACATCTTTTGGGATGGCTTTCTGCACTGCCGCCCGGGAAAAGGGTTCAAATCGGCGGTGGACAGACCTCCCTTCAGGACACCACCCTTTAGTGAGAACGGCCCAGGACAAGAAACCGACAGACCTGGACCCGAAAAATGACGGCCGTGACGCCCTCTCACGAACCGAGAACGGCCAATCCGCTAATCGACGTGTCAGGGTAGGAGGTCTATCAACCTCCGATCAAGATTGCCTCCAGTTGGCCTCCGGGTGGCTCGGGCCTGGAGGCCGTCAATGCACCCCCCTGGGTGGGCCCCCCGAGGCGGCCTCCAGAGCGGCCAACATGCGTGTCCAAGATGGCCCAAGCCTGGCCTGAGAAGGGCAGCTTCCAGGAAGATCTCGATCCGATACCGCCCAAGACGGTCCAGGATCAAGGACGGCGCCCAGATGCCCAGACTTGGGTCCTGGACAGCTCCAGCGAGCCTCCACAGTGCCCCTCCGAGGATCCCCCACGAGGCTTCCCGACAAGGTGAGAAGGCTGTGCCGGGCTGGAGCGCTGCCAACGCAACTTCCCCAAGTGCGGCGGCAGACGTGCGCGCGGCAGCGCATCTGGATCATGACGTCCGGGACCGTTTTGGAGGCATGGCGCTCCTCCTCCAGCTTGTGAGAGTCCCAGTCGAACGAGAGGCACTTCCGCTGGCTCGCCCGGCTGAGGCTGAACTTCTGCTCGAGGCACTGGGCCACGGCGTCCTCTCAGCTACGCGCAGGAGTGGCCCTGCGCAAGGGGCCCCTTGGAGCGCGGCACACCGATCGCTGCATACGGTGCGGCAGCAGCGGCTTGTGTGCTTGAGTTTGCCGCCGCCCTCCCCTCGCGCCGCCCCCCCCCCCCCCAAAAAAAAAAGCCGAGCATCAGGATCACATTTTCACGTAGACGAAGTTGTTGGGCCAAGACCGTGCGGCGATAGGCAGTGCGGTGACCTCGAGACGCCAAGAGTCCCCACCGCACCGTCAGTCTCCACACTGTTCTGGCACCTTGGAAGCCCCAGTCGCCCGAGATATCCTCGCAGAACGACCCCTGTCCCAAAGCCGTACGTTCGCCCCGAATCCCCACTCTCTCACCCGACGGTGCGGTCACTGTACTGTCTCGGGGCTTCCAGCGATCCTTCCAGTGCTGGCACTGGCCCGCTGGCATGACCATGGCGAGCCTCTCGTTCCTCCGCCGGATGGCACCGTCCGCCTTGGCCTGCCCACAGATCCTCAGCTCGCGCAGCCGATTGTCATCCCCCCTCACCAGGAGCTGCACGCGAACGATCTCCACCAGCCTCTCCAGGACCCTGCCCGCCACGATGAGGTAAGACTCCTGGTCGACAATGACCTCGTGGTAGAACTGCTCGAGCGTCTTCGCGTCGCCCTTGCCGTACTCGGTCGTGTCGATCCCGTGCGCCTCCGAGGAAGAGAAGACAGCAGAAACAACAACTTTCGGAGCTTCGCACGGATTTCTTTAGGCGGCGCTGGGTCCCCCCATCCCTGGCGCGCGGAGCTCGTCAGGGGCGGCGCCGGAGGCGCCGCCCTGGGGGGGCCCAGCGCCGATCCGAGAAAGCCGTGCGGAGCTCTGACCGTTCATGTCTATGCGGCTTGCTCTTCATCATGAGGGTCCCGCAGCTGTGCGGCGACAGACCGGGAAGGTGACCTCGGAACCCCCAACGACCTCGCCGTGCGGTCCGTCACCGCACGGTCCTGGGGGCCCTGGAGGTCCTCGGAGAGCGGCTCCTGCCCCAGAGTGCCGGGGCGGCGACGCCGGGCCCCCACGGACTCCACCCCGGACGCCCAGAGTGGCCACGGACAAAAGGGGTGCGATGCCCACCCAACAGCACATGCTGCCCAAAACCGACAGCGGCCGCTGTGGGGCAGGCGGCCTCACATGGGCCACGCCCGCGGCGACATCGACCGCGAGTCCTGCTCAGAACGAGCGAGAACTGCTGTCGGTGTTCGTGCCCATTCTTTCCGTACCCGTTTCGATCGTGCCAGCTGACCACGCGGTGTGGTCACCGCACCGTTCCCGGACCCCCGACGCCATGCTTTTTTCACAACGTGGACCGCCCGTGGTCTCGACACACTCACAGGGGCCGGCTTTTCATCCTGAGTCTTTTTGATGGTCCCAGGGCCTGGAGAGGGTCCACAGAGACTAGAAATAACAAAACGCACACTCACACATACACATATGCATGTATGTATGTATGCATGTATGCATGCATGTATGTATGCATGCATGCATGCATGTATGAAAGTATGCATGTATGCATGTATGCATGTATGTATGCGTGCATGCATGTCTGTCTGTCTGTCTGTCTGTCTGTCTGTCTGTCTGTCTGTCTGTCTGTCTGTCTGTCTGTCTGTCTGTCTGTCTGTGTGTCTGTCTGTATGCACGTATGCATGGACGGATACACGGACGGACGGACGGACGGACGGACGCACTCATGCATATGCATCTCTTCGTGTACGCATACGCATCTACCTCGCGAAGAACACCCCCGCCGAACTGCCGCCACGACGCTCGGAGGGGGGGCCCAGCCGCCGAGCGCCTGCAGCAGCTCCGTGAAGGCCGGGAGCGACATCTGCCCCCCGTCGCCCGCGGGCTGCGGCGCCCCCGCGGCCAGCAGCAGCCCGCCCCGCGGCGGCCGGGCCGAGGCGGGGCGGCGCTCGGGCACGAGGCCGGCGCGCACCTGCGGGGGGCGCGGAGCTCCCGTCGGGGGGGGGGGGCGGCGGAAGGGTACGGCAGGTTCGTGTCGTGTCGACCCCGGCGTTGGTTCCCGACATCGCGGGGATCGTTCAACCTTGAACGATCGGCCGTTCCCGAAACGTCAGGATCGTTCAACATCGCCCGATTCTGGGTCACCGGCGACGTTCAACTTTGAACACCCGCGGCGGGGTCGCCGCGGGTCGACACGACACGAACCGACCGTATAGTGTGAAGTCGGGCCTGCCCCCCTACAGGAAGATTTTCGGCGACAAAACAAAAACTACCCCAGACATACCCCCAACATGCCCCCCAACAAATTTTTAAGCAAAAAACTCATAACATAGTCCCCAGACCATTTTTGGTATATGTTTTGAAGATTTCGGGGGTATCTCTTTATCATTCGTCGAAAATCCCCCTGTAGGGGGACACGCCCGACTTAAGTATAGTATCGGGAGCGGCCAAGAGGGGAGTGTCCAAGAGGGGGGGGTGCAAATCATGACCAGCGGCATGTGCCACGAAATCTGGGGAAATATCATGGCCCGCGCCATGATATCCCCCCCCCTAGTTATCACCCCCCTTCTTGCCGCCCCCGACAGTAGGGGCTCGACCACAAGAAACCCAACCCTGAGACCCCAGGGCGTCCACTGACTTGTAGTGTGGGAACGTCACGCACTCCATAGCAGAACCATCGAAACCCAAGACACCCAGGGCACCCTGGAGGCAAGCAGGGCGTTTCTTGGCATTGCTCTCCACTGTATAGGATAGCAACTGGCCATCGATGGGACGTTCATTCCCTGTGCTTTGTCGGTTTCGTGCGTGGTGCTTTCGCCACATGATCAAGGATGCTCCTCGATGGCCCTCGCCGAGAAAAAATGCGCACGTCCAAACGATGCCAGGGCAAAGGGCAGGGTGGAGGATCAGCTCACGCAGCTAGTCTTCTTGGCGCCTCCCGGCGCCCGGGAGGCGCCCGGGCGTCGAGGCAGGGGCCCGGCGGCGGGGCCGAACGCAGCTGCAGGCAGCGGGTCTCGTATAGCCCCCCCCTTTCCTTGTCCTGCTCCTTCGTCCGGCCCAGTGCAGCCGTTCGGACGCCCGAAAGGGGTACCGAAAAAATGGGCACAATGCCCAGCAGCAAAGGTTGTCCCAGAGCAGCAGCGGCCGCTGTTGGGCAGGCGGCCTCCTGTCACGAGTGGACACAGAGGCCGCGGCGGCGTGGGCAGCGAGCCCTGCTCAAAAGGAACCAGATCCGCTGCTGGGCATCGCACCCGTTCTTTCCGTGCCCACCTCGTGCGTGCAGAAGTCGGAGCGTGGCCACGAAAGCGTCGTCGCGGGAGCGACGAAAAGAAGGTACTTTGCGCGGTGGAACGCGCAGTTTTGGCGGCGCCGACCGTGTGGGCAGGGTGTCCCGCTGCAGAGGTCGTTCGGCCGTCCGCGCCAGCGCGCCCAACGCCGCAAAAGAAAATGCCCTGGAACGCAAACTCTGCAATTTTTTGGTCACCCCTGAGCCGCCCAGGTCTTCCGCGAGGTGACGCAGCGACATCCCGGGGCGGCGTGCGCGGGCCGCCGGCGCGCCACGCCGCAGCGGAAGCGAGGGCGCCAGCGCTCAACCTTGCGAGGGCGGCTTGCGCGCCAACGTCCGCGCAGACGAAACCGCTGGTCTGCGTCGCTCGCGTCTGTGTGGAGCGTTGCGAAGGTGTGGTCGCACGTTCGTGCGAGCCTCCTCCCTCCTCCTCCTCCTCCTCCTCCTCCTCCTCCTCCTCCTCCTCCTCCTCCTCCTCCTCCTCCTCCTCCTCCTCCTCCTCCTCCTCCTCCTCCTCCTCCTCCTCCATCTCCTCGTCCGCCTCCTCCTCCTCCTCCTTTTCCTTTTCCTTTTCCTCCTCCTCCTCCTCCTCCTCCTCCTCCTCTTCCTGCCTGTAGGCTGACGTACGAGGGCGGAGCAGTTGCCTGCACGAGCGTGGCCACTCCCCGTGGAACGCGGCGCCCTGCCATTGCGTTCTTGACCAGCGCTACGAGGGCCAAGATCACGCACCCTGTCGCCGAGTGGGCAGGGCCCCACGGGGGCGTGCCAAGCGAAGCGCGCGGCAAGCCTAGATCTAAGGAGCGGCCCGAAAAGCAGAGCCCCTCCTGAGCGTCTCAGCGTCTTGTCTGTCACAGAGCATAGTTTAACCGACCCCGATCCCCATGAACGTGGCCTGGGGCCCACTGGCGGATTGACCCCCCTAGATGGGGATACAGGCCATTTCCTTCGGGTTTCGGAGGGTATATCCCCAACTGGGGTGCCGAGAGGGGCCTGGATGGGGATGGGGATGGGGATGGGCGGGCGAGCGCGCCCTATGCAGTCAGAGACTGGCCTCGTTGAGTGGGATGGGCGGTCGGCTGCGTGCAGGCGGGCGGGCCCGCCTACGGCAGCTGACGGACAGACAAACCAAACGAAGCGGTTGCCCCGATTGCTCCTTGTGCTACTGCAACGGCCGGCCTGGAGACATGACATTTAAGACCGTCTGGGGGCAAAGAAAGACGCGCGAAAGTAGAGAGGGACGTACGACGAGCAGGGAACGCGAGGTCGAGGATGGGGATAGGTGTCGGCTAAACGGTACCGAGTAGCGTTGAACGCTCATTATATCTACGGCGCATCGTTCTGCGTATGGTCCGCAGACTCGGTGGACAAAGTAAGTTTGGGGCTCATCGGATCTGCAGTCGCTCCCCTGCTCGACGGGTGCGGCTGGGGCTGGGGGATAGGGGTCGGTCGAACGATGCCCACCCCCCCTCCGACGCACGGCCTGCCCCCCCACCCCCCCCCCGACGCGCGGCCCCCTCTGCGCCCGCCCCCCGGCCCTCTCAGCGCCTGCCCCCCCCCCCCCCATGCTCGCCATCGCTCGGACCTCCATTCCCTGAGTTGTTGTTCGGTTCCGTGCGTGTGGCTTTTCCGCCGGATGATCCAGGACGCTCCTCGCTTGCCCTCGCCGAAGGAAAGAAAAATGCACACGCCCGAGCGATGCCAGGCATGCGAGGGGCAGCGGCAGGGGGCACCCAGCCAGGGGGGCCTCCTCCCGCTCCTCCCCCGGGGGCTCTGCCCTCTGCCGGCGCGCTGGCGCTCGGGGGCTTGCAGCTGCCGTGGCCCCCTCGCCGCTCCAGGCCCTCGCGTGCGTTGGGTTGGGCCTGTCCCCCTACAGGGGGATTTTGGACGACGAATGAGAAAAGATGCAAGACAACTGCTCCAAAATGGTACCTAAAGTGCTGAGCAAATCGTCCCCCGACGATTTTGGGACCATTTTTGAATGTTCCTCCTGTAGAGGGACGTGCCCGACTTAACGCTTGCGCGACTCTGGCGCGGGTCGGTGGAACGATGCCGAGTAGTGTGGCCCGTGAGCACCAGCTCCGCCAGCGCCCCCGCGCCGCGGGCGCTCGGGGGCGGCTCGTCGTCCGCCGCCCGCGCGACCCCCGCGAGGTCCTGCCGGCGAGGCGAGGGTCGAGAGTGGAGAACCTTCTGTTGTCGGAGGGTCTGGCAGAGGGTCCGCACTGCCGGACTGTACCCCGTGGTTCAAACTGCCACGACCCACTACCCGAGCGCGTCGAACCGCCACAACCCGCTACCCGAGTGGGTCGAGCTGCCACGACCCATGACTCCCCGAGTGGGTCGAACTGCCACGACCCGCTACCACGAGCCACTACCCCGTGTGGGTCAAACTGTAGAGCCTCGACCCCGTGGGCCGAAGCTCTACGGTCAAAACTGGTAGTACGGAAGCGCGATAAGGAGGCAAGCCCCTTGGACGCCCATGTCGCAGCTTTTCGAGCGGGGTTAAGGATGGACCGAAGAGGCGGGGATGCAAGGGTGCCCTTGTGAAGGTTGCCCATCCGTCTCATCGTTTTCGACTGGTCGAGGATGTCTTCGAGGGTCGAGGATCGGGCTTCTTCGAGATTGCTCCTTTCCTAGAGGGGCAACGATAGGGGGGGACTGGTATAGGGGGGAGCATATCGACCTGGAATCGGCGATACATCGCCGATAGATCGGAAACTATGTTCCCGATAGCGAATCCGCACTTTCTTGGGCAGGGTAGGGCGATCAGACCCCTATCGGCGAGCAGTGGGCGATTGGGGGCCGATTCGTTCCCCCGCTTTGACTACCCCCCCTATCGTTGCCCCCGATGTCTTCTCTCTGATTACTGTCGTTACCAGGGGTGGGGGGATTGTTTAAGGGAGCCCACAAAGGACGTACGTGCCCACGCACGTACATGAACACGGCCCCCCAGTCCGCGATGCCAGCCGCGTGATACGAGGATTCGCGCAATTCATACTCTCGAAACCCACGTGCATTCATATACGCGTACGTCCTTCTTTCGTTCCTGGTGGTTTAGGGCCCAGGTACACGTCGGTCGGAAGAAGTATGTAAAAGCAGTAAGTAGGACGGCGGATAAAGTAGAGTGGCCGCGGGCCCTCCCAGAGAATAACACAACACACTCAACGCATATCGATTCTTGAAGTAGGAAAGCGCCCAAAGAAGATAGGGATCTGGGGATCCAAAAACACCGACTTTCAACGACCGACGAGTAATGGCAACGCGTGGGCGGGGTGGGGCACGTCGGGTCGGGGGTGCGCCGTGACAACCAGAGCAAGCGCGCGAGCACCAGCGTGTGGGAGGGGAGGGTCCAACCCTCCCCCCCGACTACGGCAGGCTCGCGTCGTGCCGACGCCAGCGCTGGTTCCTGATACCGCGGGGATGGCTCAAGCTTGAACGATCGGCCGTGGCCGAAACGTCAGACCGTTCAGCATCGCCCGATTCTGGGTCGCCGGCGGCGCTCAATGTGGAACGCTGACGGTGGCGTCGCCGACGGTCGACACGACGCAAACTCGGGGATGGACAGACCCCCCTTTAGTAAAACGTGGTTAAGTGAAAACGACCTGAAGCCCAGACCTGGCGGGCGCAAGCCTGGAAAATAACGGCCACGGCGCCATCTCGAGAACCGAGAACGGACAATTCACTAATCGACGTGTCACTGTTGGGGTTCTGTCCACCCCCGACAAACTTACCATACCTACAACCGTTACCACCACTCCGGGGGGGGGGGGGGTAGGTTTGGCACGGGTGACGACCGTGACCAGCGCGCCAGAGGATGATTAAACAAAACGCCCTGCGAGGGTCGAGGTCCTCCCGGCTCGGGGTCCTCGAGGCTCTTCGAGGGCCGAGGATCTCGAGGAGCGGAGCTCCTCCCAGACCCCCGACGTTCAGACGAAGCCAGGGCGAGGAGAAGCATCGGGCGAGCATAGATCGAGAAGCTCTGAGATCTGGCGGCTCTGGGGCGTGCCTCGGGCGCCGCGGCCTTCTCCCACAGAGCTCCGGAACGGCTTTCTCCTGTCCTCGCACTGGCCCCGTCGGAGACGTCACGCTCCTCTCATTTTGGACGCCCGAAATGGGTACGGAAAGAATGGGTGCGGTGCCCAACCACAAGTGTTGCCCCAAACCGACAGCGGCCGCTGTCGGGCGGGCGGCTCTCTCTGTCTCAAGTGGACACGGGCCGCGGCGGCGCGGACAGCGAGTCCTGTCCAACAAAAAGAGCAGCGAACTGCTGCTGGGCATCGTCCCCATTCTTTCCGTGCCCACTTCGGGCGTCCAGACTCACGCCGTGGGCCTCCAGAGCTCTGGGGGCCCCTTCCCCGAGGCCGGCTTTTTTCGTCCTGCCGAGGGTCGCCCTGTCGACGGCCCCCCGAGGCACGGCGAGGGCCCCCCCGGGAGGTCGGGCCTCCTGGCCCCAGAGGGCCGCCCGTCGCGATCTTGGAGGTCGGTCGGGCCTGTCCCCCTGCAGGGGGATTTTGGACGAAAAATTAGGAACAGTCCAAAAATATACCAAAAGTGCAAGAAGGAAAGCTCCCCAAATCGTTCCCCGACTATGTTTTGACCATGTTTTGAAGATTCCCCCTGCAGAGGGACGTGCGCGACGTACTCTCGGAGCGCCGCGAGGGGGCTCTTCGAGGGTCGGAGCTCGAGGATCTCCGGGCGTCGCGGGTCCAGCAGGTAGGAGTTGCCGTGGCGCGACAGCAGCATCGGCGCGGCGCCCAGGAGCTGCAGCCGCGCGCGCACCTCGCGGGAGAGGTGCACCGCGCGGTCCTCCTCATGCGGGGGGGCAGGAAAAGGCTGAACAGGGCTAGGATCGGGATAAATCGCTCCAGAGCGTTCCAGAGCGCTCTCAGAGCGTTCAAGAACGCCCTGGAGCGGCCGCGGCGCCCAATACATCCTCCAAACCCGCCGATTCTCAGAGACTTCGAGTCATCCCGATCCGATTTTGTCCCGATCTTCGCGTCGTTTTAGCTGACACCGAGGCGCAACGTTAGAGGGGGGGGGACCGGCTTCGGGGGGGGAGAAAACATCGAGCTGGGATCGGTGGTATACATAGCCGATAGATCGCCGACAGGCCGCCAGCAGCGACTCCGCAGGTTCCTGAGCGAGGTGGGCGATCGGAGCCCCATCGGCGATGAATGGGCGACCGGGGGTCGGTGAACCCCCCCTGCGCCTATACCCCCCTTATCGCTGCCCCTGACATACAGTCGAGGCGTTGACCTAAGGAACCCTAGATAAGGAACGAGGCCCCTTTTTCTCATAAGTTAAACTTCGATTTCCTATCGGAAACCTATGGAAAATCCAAGGCAAGTTGCGAAACACTTAAGGAACGCGGAGCCCCTCCCCAACCAAAAGGGTTCCTTCTTCAGGGCCCCGACTGTATACTCCCCCCTTATCGCTGCCCCTGACATACAGCAAGTTCGTGTCATGACGACCCCAGCGCTGGTTTCTGACGCCGCCTGGCTCGTGGAACCTTCAACGATCGGCGGCTTCTCGATCACCAAACGGTTCAAATATTGACCGGTGGTGGGCCACTGGCGGCGCGCAACCTGAAGCGCCCGCGCTGGGGCCGCCGGGCGTCGACGTGGCACGCTGCTGCTCCGCGGACCTCTCCCGAGGTGCGTTCTGACCAGAATTGAAGGGGCCCCAGGACACACAAATAAATACACACAAATAAAATGATTCCCCATATTTTCCCATATTTTTTGAGTTTTTGTCTTCCCCCCCACTTCCCATATTTTCCTATATTTTCTCGGGAATCGACGATTAATTGTGTCTGTGTGTTTCTTTCCCTCCTGAAGAATCTCGAACAGAGTCCAGCCGTGGCGAGAGAACTCTCATGAGATCTGACGTCGGGAGCCAGATGCAACATAGCAGACAAAACCCACCGCTGCAAGCCGGATGTGGGCCTCGGGGGCCCCGAAACAGGCCAACAGGCCCCAACCCCCCCGTGCAAAAAAAAACGCGCGACGCCAGGACCTCAGGACAAGCGGCGGTACGCATACTCGGGGAACTGACCCGGGTCAATGCAAACCCGGGTCAGTTGGGCCTTGCAGGATCCTGCAAAATCATGCAGGATCCCATAGGATCCTGCGCGCTAGCCCGGGTTAGTGCACCACTGGTTCTGCAAGATCCTGCAGTTGTCTGGCGCTCTGGCTGTCCCCTGGTTGCATTGACCCCCGTCTCAAGGCTCCCGGACACGGCCAGGTGCCGATACCACTGCTCCGCGGACCTCTCCCTGTGTGCCTTCTGACAAGAATTCGAAGCGAATCCGGCCGTGGCGACGAGGGCCTCCCAGGAGGCCCATGAAAAAGGGAAAACGGGCGAAGGATAGCGGCAGAGGGGGTACCTCTTCCTCCGCTGAGCATCATCCTCCTCCGCCTCCTCCTCCCCCTCCTCCTCCTCCTCCTCCTCCTCCTCCTCCTCCCTCCTCCTCCTCCTCCTCCTCCTCCTCCTCCTCCTCCTCCTCCTCCTCCTCCTCCTCCTCCTCCTCCTCCTCCTCCTCATCCTCCTCCTCCTTCCTCCCTCCTCCTCCTCCTCCTCCTCCTCCTCCTCCTCCTCCTCCTCCTCCTCCTCCTCCCCTTCCCTCCGGTCCTCCGCGGACATGGCCAGGTGCTTGGACACCACCACCGCGTCGCCCAGGTGCGCGCGCCCGCCCGTGGGCAGCCCGAAGGCCAGCAGCTCGCCGGCGTGCACGCCCACGCGCAGCGGCAGGGGCGGCACCTGTGCCCCAGCCCAGTGGCACAGCAGCTCGCCCAGCCTGTCGGAGGAGGTGAGTTGAGCAGGGACCGACCGTCCCGGCATTCCTATAGTCCTACCACGGAGCGTTCTGAGAACCCAAAAATGTGTTAAGAACAAGAACCATGCTCTTAGAACAGAAAGCCGTAGCGATAAAACAAGACAGACTCCGCCAGAAATGTTCGAAGAACATTTCGTGGAAAGCACAGAAGGTTCTTAGAACATTGTTTGGTAGGGCTATAGGCGAGCCAGGACGCTTCGCCACTGCTTGAGTGAGGGGCTCGCCGAGGGGGGAAGCGGGTCTTGGGCGTTTCCTTTTCTTCGAGCCAAAACAATCCTCGCGGCCGTGCTTGGTTAATATATCCTCTGGTGTGACTGTGGTCTGATCACAACGAGAGCTGCCAGGACACTGGGTCCAGTCGGCTTGGCTGCTGGGTTCAGTCTGGTAGCCTTGAGCCGGCTCGGAGCGGGTCTTGGGCGTGAGTGAACGGGGGGGCGAAAACGGGGGGGCAGAACACGGTGCACCTCTCGGGCCCTCTATAGTGGCCCCCCCGTTGGGGACCGCAGGGGCCCCTTCAGAAGCACGGAGGGGGCCACCTCTCTGCAGCCCCCGCTGCCCCCCCACCTTTGCCGCCATCCCCTCACGCGCCCCCCCCAAAAAAGGGCCCATGAGGGCAACGGCTCGGGAGGCTGTCCGCCGCGTCCGGGCCCTCGGGGCCCCCACACGGGCCCCATAGGACCGTCCGCAGACGACTCGGCATTGGCCACTCGCCCCGGGCCGGGGCCCGAGGCCCAGGACCGAGGGAGCCCGTCCTCCCCGTGCGGAGCCGAGGCCGCGGCGCCCCGCCTGGCGCGCCTCGCCCCGACCGGGCCTCCCGAGGGCTCCTCGCCGCCACGGCCGGAGCCGCGTCCGAAAGTAGGCGAGGATGGGCCCCAGGAGGCTCGGATGGTCTCGAAAACGTTGGGGGGGCGCTTCCTCTCCCCTGCTCTCACGAGAAAGACGCGTTCTGTCAGCTGTGGGCGCCGCTTCCGCGGCGTTCTCAAGTCTCGGATCGGCCCGTGGCCAGCCTGCTCGTTTTCTTCCCGTGTGCAGTACGCGCCGAATACGTTTTTGCAGGGGCCCTGGGACACACAAACAAATCCGCCGACCCTGTTGGCGTGTGCGAGGGGTCTGTCTGTTCCAGTCGTCGTCTCCGTCAGTCGTCGTCTCCGTCGTCCCCTTTCCCTGCACCCTCCTCTCCTCAAGCCTGTCAGCGAGAGAGAAAACTGGCAATGTCGTAATCGAATCGAAGGGAAGCCCCTTCCCTTTGATCCCTTCCCCAGGGGGGGGGGGGTCCCGGGGGGGGGTCCCGGGGGGGGTGGGGGGGCAGATTCGTTTTTCCTCGGGCGGCCTCGAAACCTCGAAAACACTCCAAATGAGGTCCGAATGCCCAAGATGGCCCCCGAGACGGCCCAAGAGTGCCCCGAGTCGCCTGAGAAGCTCTCAGGAAGCCCCCAGAGGCCCCTAAGAAACCTCCCAAGAGGCCCCAAGAGACCCCTAAGAGGCCCCAAGAGACCTCCAAGAGACCCCCAGGAAGCCCCAAGAGGCCCACACGAGGCTCCCAAACGGCCCCCAAGAGCTTCCCAAGAGGCCCCCAAACTGCCCCCAAGAGGCCCCCGAGAGCGCTCGTCGTCGTCGTCGTCGTCGTCGTCGTCGTCGTCGTCGTCGTCGTCGTCGTCGTCGTCGTCGTCGTCGTCGTCGTCGTCGTCTTTCAGGGTCGGAGGCACCGGCCGTAAGGCCTTCGCAATACACACAAATAAGAGGATTCCGAATCTTTTACCATATGTTCTGGGTTGTTGTTTTCCCCCCACTTCCCATATTGTCCCATCTGTTCTGGGGATCGACGATTCAGTGTGTCTGTGTGTGTGTTTGTGTTTTCCCTCCCGTCAGCTGTGGGCGCCGCTTCCGTGGCGCTGTCAGGTCTGCGATGGGCCTGGAGGCCCGCCTGCGCTTTTTTCTCTTCCCATGTTCAATACCTTTGTGGGCCGAGGAAACGGCAGGGCCGTTTTTTCACCGTTTCCAGAAAAAAGTGCCCCTTGAAAACGGAAACGGCCAAGAAACGGCGACGGCAACAAAAACGGCTCCAGGATTGGAGCCGGAGCCGGAACCGGGCAAACAACGGCGACGGAACCGGTAAAAAACGGCGCTGGAACCGGCAAAAAAACGGCAAAACGGAACCGGTAAAAAAACGGCCCTGTCGTTTCCAGGGCCCACTAAGTTCAGTACAAGTCGTTCATTTCTGATTGTGCTCATTTCTGGCTGTGCTCGTGTCTAATTGCTCCTGGCCCCCCGGTGGCCAGGAAGAGGCCCAGGATAGAGCGACCAGGAATGAGAGGATCTTGCCCCCCCCAAGAAAAACATTTAACTTTCGAACACTTAGTAAGGAACACTGCGCACGTGCTGATTACTTTTCTTCAGGTATCACAGTGACGCCTGCCTGACGCCCACATCCGCGGGAGCCGTTCTGAGAACGTCTTGGTCGAACCTTAAGCCGAAAGCTGGAACATGAGAACAAAACAAAACAAAAACGCGGACAACTCAGGCCCAAAGGCCGATTTGGAACGGATTCGGGCCGGGAGGGATAAAAGGGCCCCAGGACACACAAATAAATACACACAAATAAAACTATTCCCCATATTTCCCAATAGTTTTATGGTTTTTGTCTACCCCCCCACTTCCCGTCCATATTCCCTACCTAGGCTCTGCCTAGAAGGGTTTTTACTGTCTTAGCTTAAAGGGGCCGGGCAGTGTAAAACGCCCCGGGCGGTTCCCCCAGGATCCGCCCCGCGGTTCCCCCAGTCCCCTGGGAACTTTAGCTTTAGCTTTAGCTTAGCTTTAGCTTAGCTTTGGCTTAGCTTTAGCTTAGCTTTAGCTTAGCTTTAGCTTAGCTCTAGCTTAGCTCTAGCTTAGCTCTAGCTTAGCTTTACTGTGACTACTAATGCTCCTTTCCTAGGGGCTCCAACTCCTAGGCAGGGTCGCACTGGGATAATTTTCTGGGGAATCGGCGATTCATTGTGTCTGCGTGTTTATTCCCCTCCTGAAGGGAGAGCCGGCGGCCCCTCCCCCGAGCCTGACGGCCACGTCTTCCGCGCACATCTCCACGCCGCCCTGCTCCCGGGGCTGGACCTGGACCAGGCACGACGTGGCGCTGCTCTCGAGGATGCCCGCCCCGATCGCCTCTCAAGCAGGGACCATCCGCCATGGCATCCCTATAGGCCTGCCACGAGATACTCTTCGAACCAAAGAATGTTCGGAGAACAACAACAGCCTCCTTATGACATGGAGCCAGAAGTGCCCGCCGGCCGGTTCTCACAAGCCACAAGATTTTCATAGAACTCTACTTGGCGGGCCGGGAACGCTTCGCCACTGCTCGAGCCTCCACGCACTCCACCACCTCGGCGTGGATGCGCAGCAATCTCGGCCCGTCGCCCTCGGCAGAAGGGCCGGCGCCGACCTGGTCCGGGCGGGCAGATCGCACAATCGAGCATACGCCGACATGCACAGCCAAACATACGTTGATGGAATGGTCGTCCACCTCCTCCTCCTCGTTCCCTTCGACTCCTCCTCCTCCTCCTCCTCCTCCTCCTCCTCCTCCTCCTCCTCCTCCCTCCGACCCCACTCCATGTCCGGGGCCTGTGGCGCGGCCATCAGCTCGTCGTCGTCGTCGTCGTCGTCGTCGTCGTCGTCGTTCAGGGTCGGCGGCACTGGCCGTCAGGCCTCCACAGTACGTTCAAGAAAAGGCTCGTTTAAGACATCCGGGCCAGCTTCCCAGAGGCTGCTTCAAGCAAACCTGGGCCAATGTCTGTTGTTAGCGCTGGAGGGGCGAACGAGCTCAGGAAGCTGGGCCAGCTTTTCGGCAAGCTGGTTAAGAAACGCTGCCCCAGATTCGGGAGGAGGTTACTTACTCAAATCCTCGCATGTATTCAAGGGTCCGTGGGTCCAGAGCAGGAGCGCCAAATCAACGAATCGAGGAAGGTGCCCCCGAAACGGTAGGCCAGTGACACCCGACTCGGCGACGGGGCGTGCCGATTTCTGCACGGAAGCGGGACCCGCCGCTGATCCACGCGTCGCCGATCCGTGTTTGCGTTTCCTCAACACAAGCAAGCGCATCGCCGCATCGAGGAACAAACAACGCTATGCAGCATATTAACTTTCAAGGGCCCACGCCGATTTCTTGCATTGGCGCTGGATCCCCTCCCTGGCGCGCGGAGCGCCCCAGGGGCGGCGCCAGAAGCGCCGTCGGGGGCTCCAGCGCCGATGCGGAACAAATCCGCGCGGACCTCCGAAAGTGCATGCTTGTGTCATGGTTTGATCCCCCCGAGCGCACTCGGAGATCGGCGCGGAGCTCTTGGGTCGGCGCCAGGAGGAGGAGGAGGAGGAGGAGGAGGAGGAGGAGGAGGAGGAGGAGCAGGAGGAGGAGGAGGAGGCGGAGGAGGAGGAGGAGGAGGAGGAAGAGGAGGAGGAGGAGGAGCCCCCCCCACACCAGGCCCCTCCCCGCGATCCCCCGCGGAGCGCGCCCCCCTCCGGGGCGTGGGCAAAGATTCGGGGTGGGGGTGCGGGGGGGGGGGGAGACAGCGCCGGCCCGAGAAATCCGCGTGGACCTACGGCAGCTTGTGCGCGTTGGCCCGCTCGCCTTCTCAAATTTTGCTCATCTGAAGGGGCACTGGGACACACAAATGAATACACACAAATAAAAGGATTTCGCATATTTTCCCATATGTTCTGGGTTTCTTTCTTCCCCCCCCCCCCACACTGCCCATATTTTCCCGTATTTTCTGGGGAGTCGACGATTAATTGTGTCTGTGTGTTTTTTCCCTCCTGATCATCGCGCCAACAGGCAAGCGGTCCCCCAGGTAACTCCAAGTTGCTGCTGCGGCGTGCCAGGGGAACGCAGGAGAGGGACGCGGGGGAGCGATCAAAGCGACGGGAACGCAGAGCCAACTTTGCTCCGCCTTCGCGAGTCATCTTTTTTGGGGGACGTCCTGAATGGGTACGGAAAGTGGGCACAATGCACAACAGCGAATGCCGTCCAAAACCGACAGCGGCTGCCCTTGGGCAGGCGCCATTGTTGTTGTCTCAAGCCGACAGCGCCCGCGGCTACGCAGACAGCGAGTCCTGCTCAACATGGGCAGGAACTGCTGCCGGTGTTCGTCACAGTTCTTCCCGTACCCATAGCGGTCCTCCAGAGCTGGAGGCGGCCGGGGGATCTGAGCCGGATAGGCCAAGAGACAGTCGGTCAAGCTGGGGGGGGGACGCTAGAACATGTCCTCAAAATCGCGCCTCAAGCCCCTAGACCCCTCCTGGGATCAAGCGCGCTGCTTTTCCGAGCTCCTTCCAGCCGCGGCGACGAGCGCCCCCCCGAAGGCCAATCACCTTTGTCTCACCTCGCGTTCCTTTGATTCGGGCGTCCGAAATAGTACGGGAAGCATGGGCACGGTGCCACACAGCAAATGTTGTACCAAACCGACAGCGGCCGCTGTTGGGCAGCCAGCCGTCTGTCTCACGTGGACACCGTCCGCGGAGACACCGACAGCGAGTCCTGCTCAAAATGAACAGCTACTGCTGTCGGCTTTCGCACCCATGACTTCCATAATGTCGATCGCACCGCTCTGAAGTCCTTCCGTGCCCATGCTGAACCTCCAAGCGTTTGCTCCCTGACGACCGCCCAGAACAGGCAACACCCGGCCTCTGCGCCAGCCTGGCCGCCGGGCTTGCCTGCGGCGGCCGCCTCGGCCGCCGCACCGGCGTCCTGTAGGTCGTCGAGGACCGAAGCCTTCCGCACTGCCGCGGAGCCCTTGGCACGCTTGCGTTGGAGCAGGGAGGGCGCCATCGCGGGATTTGCGCGTCGAGCTCTGGTGGCTCACGCACTCCAGCGAGCGACGGAAAGAAACCAGACTCATATTCGAAACGACGTATCGACCTTACGCGGCGGCTATCGCAGGCCGCCAGCGTGGCACAACGCGTGGAGAAGAGGGCCCTTGCGCGCGACCTTCCGCGGGAAGCTTGTGCGCAAAGGTCCGCGCCATCGGCCCCGTTTTTTTCCGTCGCCCAAACGAGACCGAGGAAGTCGACCTGCTCTTGTGGCCAGGGAGACTTCGGGAGGCTTGAGTCAAACTTCTGAATGCTGCGTCGAGGAGGATACTTGGAACGGGAAGAAATATTAGCAGTACCGTCGGGGCGTTGACCTAAGGAACCCTGAATAAAGAACGAGGCCCCTTGTTTTCCACAAGTTCAACTTCGACTTCCGTTCGAAAGCATAAGGAAAACCTGAGGCAAGCTGTGAAACATCTATCGGGGAGACGTAAGACCCGGGTACGGGGGGAGACGTAAGACCCGGGTACGGGGGACCCGACGAGGTCGTCAAAAAAATGACGAGGCCGAGCCTGCATTTTGACGAGGCCTCCCGCTGCAGACATCCCACGAAACTCCTACTCGTCAAAATCCGAGGCGCGGTCGTCAAAAAAAAATGGCGAACCCGAGTCCTGGCAAACCCGGGTCTTACGCTCCCCCGAATCTAAGGAACACGGAGCCCCTCCCCAACGAAAAGGGTTCCTTCTTCAAGACCCCTAGCGTATTCGCGCACATCTGCTGGGAACCCCCGAAGCTTCACATTGAAAACTGGGCGGGCACGTGCGCACACAGACTTCCAGGGGCCCGCGAGGACTTCTTGGGCCACCGCTGCCCCCCCGTTCCCCGCTGCACATGTGTCCGCGCCCCGCAGGGGGGCGCGCCCCGCGGGGGGACTCTGCGGGGAGCGGCGCGGCGAGGGGGGCGTGGTCGGCGACGACCCGAGAGCTCCACGCCAATCCCCAGGTGGGCTCGAAGAGCCAATCATGTCATGCGCACGAACTTTCGGAGGTCCGCGTGGAGCTCTTGGGGCGGCGCTGGACCCCCGCCTCCCCGCATCCCTCCCTTCGCGCGCGGTGCGCGCGAAGGGCGGCGCCCGGCGCGCTGGCCAATGGGTGGGCGCAGGGGCCCCGCCCAGGTCGCCGCCGCAGGGTCCGTGGCCTCGTCGCGGGCGGCTCTTCTCCCACGGCCCCTGGCCCGGCCTGTGTGCTTGCGGTTGCTTCCCCCCCTCCTCCTCTTCCTCCTCCCCTTCCTCCTCCTCCTCCTCCTCCTCCTCCTCTTCTCCTCTTCCTCCTCCTCCTCCTCCCTATCCTTCTGTTTCCTGCCTGCTGCTCTCTGTCTGTCTCCCTTCGGCCTGCCCGTCATCCCGCCTTGTCCCGCCGACCTCGGCCTCCCACCTGCGCGTTCGTCGTCGCCCGCCTGCTTCTCCCTTCCTCTCTCCACCCCGCTCCGGGCAGCAGCCTGCCTAGAGCCGGCGTTGCGAAACAGCGCGCTGTTCTTCCCGCAGGAGCCGCAGGCCGAAACAATTGCAGCGCTGCTGGCGTAGCCGGGCGCTTCTTACCTTTGCTGCGCGTAGGGCTTACGTAAGGCGCTGCTCACTTGTATATGCGGGGGCGGCCAAGAGGGGAGGAAGGGGTGCAAATCATGACTGGCGGCATGTGCGCTGCCCAGGGGGGGGACCTAATGAAAAAAGAAGAAGCGCCATGAAATCTGAGGAGATATCATGGCCCACGCCATGATATCCCCCCCCCCCCCCCAATCATCACCCCCCTCTTTGCCGACCCCGATATCTTCGAGGCGACGCAATATTCGACCCCGCCGCTCGCCGGGGCCCGTCTGTTGGCCCGGCGGCCCCGTTCCTGGCCGTCGCCGCCTTTGATAGATCTCCTCCAACACGGCCGCCGAGGCTCCCCAAGAGTGCCACAAGACGGCTCCGAGGGGTGCCCAGGAGGCCCCAAGAGGCCCCCAAGAGGCCTCCAGGAGACCCCCAGGAGGCTTCCAAGAGACCCCCAAGAGGCCCCAGAGGTTCCCCAGAGACACCCAAGGCGCCCCAAGAGCCCCCCAGGACTGCCAACAGACCCCAAGACACCCCAAGAGAAATCCAAGCTGCTCTCGGGGAAAATCCAAAGATATTCCGAGACGCATCCAAAAAGGCTTTTGGCCTTTCTGCTCCTCATCCTCCTGCTGCTGCTCTTCCTCCTCCACTTCCTCATCCGCCTCCTCCTCCTCCTCCTCCTCCTCCTCCTCCTCCTCCTCTTCCTCATCGGCCTACTCCGCCTCCTTCCTGCTGCCTCCTCCCCTTCCCCCTATCCCCCCTCCTCCTCCTTCTCCTCACCCTCCTCCTTCTCCTCCTCTTCCTCCTCCTCCTCCTCCTTGGCCTCCTCTTCCTCATCCTCCCCCTCCTCCTCCTTATCCTCCTACTCTTGCTCCTCCTCTTTCTCGTCCTCCTCTTCGTCCTCCTTATCCTCCTACTCCTCCTCGTCCTCCTCTTCCTTATCCTCCTCCTCTTCCGCATGCTCCTCCGATTCATCATTCATCCTCCTCTTGGGGTACGACGTCCTACCGAACCCTTAAGTCCACTGCGTGCTCCTCCGCTTCACTGAGAAGGGCAACTCGTCCGGGTATTGTTTCTGGATGGGCTGGCGGGGTTACGAGAAGCGTCCAGAATTAGCAAGAGCGCGCGCAGACTGTGTTCGAATTGTTTGATGGACAACGAATGGGCGTTTACATTTGTTCGGAACCTCGATCTTGAAATCCATACGACACCTATGGTTTTGGAGGGATTTCGACCTGCGCGCGCGAAGACGCGCGCGTGTGGACGTTGTCATATTATGTTGCAATGGATGGTTAAACAATGACTATTGTTGATGAGCGAGTGCGCGCGCATAGTTCCCCAATCAGGGGTCCTCGCGGAAATTGAAAGATTTGGCGAAAATGTCCCGCCGATTTTGGTCGCACGCTAGGTTCCCGGGTTCCCGGTTCCGGGTTCCCGGGTTCCGGGTTCCATCCCGATTTCGGAGGGCTGCGAGGTTCCCGGGTTCCAGGGTTCCTGGTCGATCTTCTTATCGGTCGGTCTCACCATCGATCTCATTACTCAGATCTCTATCGATCTCACCGTCGATCTCACAATCGATCTCACAAGCGATCTCACTAGAGATCGCATGAGCGACCTCGCGATCGATCTCACTATCGATCTCATTGAATCGATTTCACTTTCGGTCTCACGATCGACATTACAATCGTCCTCACTATCGATTATGATCGATCTCGCAGTCGATCTCAAGATCCTTCATATCAATTTTCAAATCGTCCACTGATTGGGTTCTCTCAGGTATAACTTTAGTTGTCAGGGGCGAGGGCGTGGGGGATGAGGGGGCTCCCTGGGATGGTACGAGCGCACATCAAAACGAACAACGACGCTGTCTCACAGGTAAGTTGCAGTACCCCGGAGGGAACCGATGAAGCTGCGGGGGCGAAGAGCTGGGGCTCCCACAGCGATGGCTGCACTTGGGAATTTTCGCTCGTTGCCTGCAGAACTGGGCCTGTGTGTTGGCGTGGCGGGCATGTGGCCGCCGTCGCCGCCCCGTCGCCGCTTCGTTGCCGCCCGTCGTCCGGGCCTGTGAACCGGTCCGGCGGCCACGTGGCCGCCGTCGCCGCCCCGTCGCTGTCTCGTCGCCGCCCGTCGACTGGGCCGCCCCGTCGCCGCCGCGCCGCGGCCACACAGGTTGCACCGCATGGCTTGCGCAGCGTAAATCGAACCAGATAAATGACACAGCAAAGCTTGGCCCACAGATTGCACGACACAGTTTCCACCACAAATATTCAACCACATGCACTATCTCTTCTAGAACAGATCCGGATCTGCCGCCCACCCACCAGGATTATTGGTCCCCCTTGGGGATTTGCAGTTTGCATATGATTCTGCCCCAGTGTTCATTCCAGAAATGAATTCATACCACCCTCGCCAAACCTTTACCGACCCCCCTTTCATCATCCTGGTCGAATGGAACTGTGCGGGCGCATTCGTCTGTCAAAAACCATCCGTTTGCAATAACCCCTTGCAAAAACAAACGGGACGAACTGCGCGCGCGTCGTCACGCTCGAATGCTGGAATCCTTCGACCACCATTGGTGCCGTAAGGATTTCAAAATATCGAATGTCGCGAAAACGTGCGAAGCACATGGTTTCGCACCATGGTTTGTCAAAAAGTCTGCGCGCACGGTCTTGCCAATTCCCACGGAAACCACATGTTGACCGTTTACATCAAGTCCGACCTATCGGCCCTCTCGCGAGCGCGTGTCGAAATCATTGGAACGCCTTTGCGCGTTTGCTGGGGGCGTTGGGTACGGTCCCTGTCAAATAAAACCATGCGGGCCATTCGCACCCGTCGGCCGCGCGCGCATGTCGACATCTTTCCAAAACCAGCGTCGCCGACTTGTGGACACAATCGTCGACATCGGCGCGATCAGCATCGGCATCATCATCGGCCTCACCGTCGTCATTGTCATCATCGTCACCAACATGGCGGCTATCATCATCGTTTCTGTTGTTTTCGACGTCGCCATGACACCGCGCAGCCCGAGTCACCGACTCGCACTGAAGTGCCCACGCGTCAGCACGGCCCGCGACACGCGCTGGGAAACGACCTGCTTTCACTACCACAGCGGCCACGCCGGTCGCGCCAAAATAATTGGCCGTTCCTCGCGCGGGCCCGCGCGCGCTAGCGCGGCCGCACCGATGTGCCACCCAGCGCAAAACAGTCATCGCAATCGCGCCGCATGGGATTTGCAGACCAAGTTGCGGGTGGGTGGGATGACTGCGCGCAGTGTGACTGACAACGCACAGCGGAAAAAAACACAAATTGCACCACATAAATTGCGCAATCCACATTGCACAACATAGGATGCACAACGTAGCTTACGCCACACTGATTGCCCTACATACATAACACGACATATTCTACACCATGTAAACTGACCACAA